CCCCCCCCCCCCCCCCCCCCCCCCGCTTCACAGACTGGAGCCAAGATCAGAAGGCAGTTTGGTCTTTGAGTGAGTGAGACCGGAGTTTCCAGTAGAAAACTCACGCTCAGGATCAGACTCTCAGGGAGTGGGAAAGTGGTTAGCAGCTGTAACTCGATATCCCAGGCATAATCTGAAGGACACTAGAGAGACCTGCTCTTTGCCCCTGATTCAATCGGAAAGCAAAGCAGATGTTGTCTTAATAGTTTTCCAGTCCAGTGGCCAAGAGAAAACAAAATATGTCATACATGTGGTTGTATTTAAAGGCAAGATTACAACACATGTCCAATAAACGTTGGTTGTTGCTGGAGCAAGAGATTCCATTTGTAATCACAGCTGAGTTAATCTAATTAACTGCAAATGAAGACAGTTTTCAAGTTCAGCCAAAATGGTCACAAGTACATGCTTTTTACAATGTTTTCCCCTCTTCTCTCCTTGAAGGGCCCCAACCTGCCATCCTGTTTTTAAATGCTGAAGTCCTAGTGACATGACATGAGAGTTTCTATTTGTTGTTTGGCTGGATCTCTGCAGAAGCAAAGGCTCGATGCCCTAAAGAAGTTAGATCTTTTAAAATATAAATCAGTACAATGGCTTTTGATCGCAATTGATCAATATCCAGGCCCCAAAATGGAGATTGCACAATCTACCATCAGACTCGCTACACCCATAGAGGTCGATGCTCCACGCCAAGCCCCCTCAGCCTTGCCTAAGAACCCAGGCTCCCACCCTACCAGCCAAGCCCTCTGCGTTTCCTTTAGATGGTTCTGGATAGGAGCGTAAGAAAAATCCCAGGCTTAACACTGGCCTCTTAAGTGCTGGCGCTTCTTAGGGCAGTCAGTGATGTGGGGTGGCCAGGATGAAAGGCTGACTTTAGCTCTGCTTTGGGGGCCTCTTGAATCATCTGTGTTGGGAAGCTGGATGTCCTGGGGGAGGATAATGGATTAAGATCATTCCATTTGAAAGAGTTCACTCAGATACAAGCAAAAAGATAGATGATGACACCATTAGGTTTACAAACCACAGAGCATTTGCTCCCCCATCCCATACAGGATGAAAGCTCTAGGGCCATTACATGTTAGGCTCCCTGAAGCAGAAGGGTTAGGATCTGGGGCTTTTGACTCAGGCAGCCCCGGGTTCAAATTCCAGCTCTATCATTCACTATATGTCGAAATGCAGATAAGCCATGCAACCTCTGAGCTTCACTTTCCTCATCTGTGAAAAGGGCAGGACACCACTTGCCTGGAGTTGCTTGGAAAATGGGAAATGATGCATATGGAACTGCCAAGATAATGCCATGCACAATGTCAACGGCACGTAGTTCACATCTGCATTCAGTAACGGTACCTTCCCTCTGCCACTCTGCGCATTTGCCAGATCTCCCCTCCTGCCTCTCTTCTCTGGTTTTCTCATACGGCTGCCCCAACTGTAAGCAATCCCTATGATGTCATCCAACCCTGGTCGTTCAACTTCTTCCTTAGGTCACACATTTCTCAGGGGCAACTCTGGGTGACAGCCATCAATACAAGCTGCGGCCAAGGAAGGCGCTCCATCCTTATGAATGGCGATTCCCAAGTGTGCTCTGTGTCAACAGTAACTAAGGCCTGTGAGCATTCCTTGGGAGATGGAACAAAATGGAATTCTGTGGTCATATCAGTTTGGGAAATGCTCAGAGATTCATAGGACACATTCATATATTAAAGGCTCTGAGGAATCTTACCATGAATAACCCCATTTAGCTTTGTTTGCTTTACCCTTCCCACTTTATCTGATTTACTGGTGTCCTGCTATCCGTGGTTACTTCTTTAAGTGCTTTCCTTTACACCCTTTTTAGTATGAACTAAATAATCCCCCTTCGCAAATAGAGAAATAGGGTTCAGAAAGGTTAAATGGTTAGCACATCCTGATCCAGTGGGTAGTACCAGAAACACCTGCTCCCTCTTTGAGTCCAGGGCTCTTTTCTCTACATCTGGAAGAAATAGCTTAATAAATCCCTTTCTGCTAAACAATCCCAGAATCTATAAATCACTGGATGGGCTCACGGGATTTCATCTTCGTAGCAAGGAGAAAACCATAGAGGGAGAGTGATTTGTCCAGAATTAGGGGTGGCAGAGTTGAAAGTGGCACCCAACCTACTAATCTCCAGGCTCAGCTGCCTTTACCTTACGCCCGGGGTTCATGGGTCTGGCTCAAACTCCTCAGCCATCTTCTTCAATGACATCTTCCCTCTCTCCAAGGCTAGATCAGTGCTGCCCAATAGACCCTTCTGAAAGAGGGTGGAAACGTCTATAGCCGTGGCATCCCTTCCGATAAACACTAACCACATGTAGCTGTTGATCACTACAGATGAATCTAGTGCAAATGAGAAACTAAACTTTTCATGCCATTTCATTTTGAAAAGAAAAAAATTTTTTTTTAAATTTTTTTTTCAACGTTTATTTATTTTTGGGACAGAGAGAGACAGAGCATGAACGGGCGAGGGGCAGAGAGAGAGGGAGACACAGAATCGGAAACAGGCTCCAGGCTCTGAGCCATCAGCCCAGAGCCTGACGCGGGGCTCGAACTCACGGACCGTGAGATCGTGACCTGGTTGAAGTCGGACGTTTAACCGACTGCGCCACCCAGGCGCCCCAAGAAAAATTTTTTTTAATGTTTATTTATCTTTGAGAGAGAGACAAAGTGCGAGCGGGGTAGGGGCAGAGAGAGAAGGAGACACAGAATCTGAAGCAGGCTCCAGGCTCTGAGTTGTCAGCACAGAGAGTGATGCGGGGCTCAAACTCATGGACGGTGGGATCAAGACCAGAGCCGAAGTCAGACACTCAACCAACTAAGCCACCCAAGTGCCCCTCATGCCATTTCATTTTAATGAATATACATTAAAATAGCTGCATGTGACCAGCCACCATATCAGACAGGGTAACTCTGAAGACCAGAAAGCATATTGATTCTATAGACCCACAGATGCAATTATCACAGAAGCAGAAGATCCTTGTAATAACAATGGAGTCTAAGCTGCCTAGACCTTGTTAGGGGCTGCATTCAGTTTCATTTAATGATAGAGCACAACCTATCCCAAAATATGCATTTGCTCAACCAATTTCCTCCTTTCCTTGGCAACATCTTACCCATCATTCTAATCTAGGCTCAAATTCACCCTCTTTCAGGAAGCTTTTGCTGATCTACCTCTCTCCCACCAAGCACAGCGAAGAGATTCTTCCATGGAACTCCCACTGTCCTATAATTGTCCCCAGCGGTATGAAAAGGAAGACAGTTTTTGTGTTGGTTTTGAAACTGGATGAGAGGGGAGAGAGTTTGCCTGGGGGGAGGGAGTTGTGGCAGGCGCATTTGGGGAGTGGTGTGAGAGAGATAAGGAAGATGTACCTAAAAGAGATGGGTAATGCGTGACTTAAGCTTTTCCAGCTACCCTAAAAAATCTTCAGTAAAAGTAGGTATTACAATCTATAGTGACACGTGGATCAATCTCACAAGGTTGAGAGGGAAAAGGAAATCACATGCTTCACAAACAAAATACCCAATATATTAGGAATAAGAGGGGATTTTCTCAACCAGATTAAGGTCATCTATGAAAAGCCCAGAGCTGACATCATACATGATGTTGAAAGACTGAAGATCAGTCTTCAGTCCCCCTAAGATCAGTAACAAGACAAGGATGCCTACTCTTGCCACATCTATTCAATATTACTGGAGATTCTATCCCAGACAATTAGGCAAGGAAAAAAAAAAAAAAAGGCATCCAGATCAGAATGGGAGAAGTAAAACTATCCTCATTTCCAGATAATGTAATCTTGGACATAGAATATGCTAACGAGTCCACCCAAATACATTAGAACTTCTAAATAAATTCAGAAGTGTTGCAGAATATGAGATCAATATACAAAAAGTAGCTGTATTTCTTCTACATATTGACAATGAGCAAATCAAGAATGAAGTTAAGAAAACAATTTTATTACCACAACACGAGAAAGAATAAATGCTGAGGAGTAAGTCTAACCAAAGAAACACAAGACTTTTGAACTGGAAACTACAAAATGCTGTCGCAAAAAATTACAGAAGACCTAAATAAATGGAAAGACATCCATGTTCATAGATTGCAAGATTTAATACTGTTAAGATGGCAACACTTCTTGAATTGATCTACAGATTCAATGAAACCCGTATCAAAATACCAGAAACTTTTTTGCGGAAATTGACAAGCTGATCCTAATCTTCATATGGAAATTCAAGGACCTGAAATAGTAAAAATAATCTTGAAAAAAAAAAAGAACAAAGTTGGAGGACTCACACTTCCTGATATCAAACGTTACTACAAAGCGGCAGTAACAGGAAAGTGTGGAACCGGTATAAGAATAGACACATAGACCAACCAATAGAATAGAATTGAGAATGTAGAAATAAACCCTCACAATTTATGGTCAATTGATTTTTGACAAGGGACCCAAGACAATTCGTTCTACAAGTGGTAGTGGGACAACTGGATAGCCACATTTGAGAGAATGAATGTGGACCCTTTACTCACATCATAAATAAATTAATTCAAAATGGATCAAAGACCAAATTTAAAAGCTAAGCTTATAAAACTCTCAGAAGAAAACAGAGGGGTTGAGGCACCTGGGCAGCTCAGTTGGTTACGTGTCCAACTCCTGATTTTGGCTCAGGTCATGATCTAATGGTTCATGGGATCGAGCCCTGAATTGGGCTTTGTGCTGACAGTAAGGAGCCTGCTTGGGATTTTCTCTCTCTCTCCCCCTCTTCCTCTGCCCCTCCCCAGCTCATGCAAGTGTGTGTACTTTCTCTCCCTCAAAAGAAATAAAGACACATTTAAAAAGGAGAAGAGAACATAGGGGTAAATGTTCACGACCTTGGATTAGGCAATAGGGTCTCAGATATAACCACCAAAGCACAAGCAACAACATCAGTGAAAAAAAATGGATAAGTTGGACCGTATCAAAATGAAAAACTAGTGAAGATAATCCACAGAATGGGAAAAATCATATATCTGCTAAAGGACTTGTATCTAGAATATACAAAGAACTATTACAACTCAATTAGTTTTGTTTAATATTTTTAAATGTTTATTTATTTATTTTTTTGAGAGAGAGAGAGAGAGAGAGAAAGAGAGAGACCAAGCAGGGGAGGGACAGAGAGAGAAGGAGACACAGAATCTGAAGCAGGCTCCAGGCTCTGAGCTGTCAGCACAGAGCCTGACGTGGGGCTCGAATTCACGGACTGTGGGATCATGACCTGAGCTGAAGTCGGATGCTTAATCGACTGAGCCACCCAGGTACCCCACAAATCAATTATGAAAAGACAAATAACCCAATTAAAAAACAGACAAAGGATCTGGATAGACATTTCTCCAAAGAAGATAAACAAATGGCCAATAAACACATGAAGAGATGTTGACCATCATTAACTACCAAGGAAATGCGAACCAAAACCACAACGAGATACCACCTCATACCCCTGAGGGCGGTCAGAATAAAAAAGATAAGATAATAACAGGTATTGGTGAGGGTTCAGAGAAATAGGAACCCTCACATGTTGTGGTGGAAATGCAAAGTACTGCAGCTGCGTTTGAAAACAGTTTGGCAGTTTCCCAAAAAGCTAGGCCTAGAGCTCCCCCATGACTCAGCAATTCCACTCGTAGGTATATAGAAGAGAAAAAGAACATGTCCACACAAAAACTTCTACATGAATGTTCATAGCAGCATTATTCATAATAGCTAAAAAGTGGAAACCACCCAAAAGTCTTATGAGCTGAAATCCGAGTAAGTAAAATGTGGTACAGTAGATACCCTCATCTGCGGGGATAGGTTCCAAGACCCCCAGCAGATGCCTGAAACTGAGGATAGTCCCGAAGTCTCTAGATGTTATATAGTTTTTCCTATACATACATACCTATGATAAAGTATACATTTATACTAAATTTATAAATTAGGCCGAGTAAGAGTTTAACAATGATAACTAATAATAAACTAGGATAATTATAACAATATACTGTACTAAAAGGTAGGTGAAGGTAGTCTCTTTCTCTCTAAATGTCTCTTTTTTGTGTCTCTCTTTTTTTTAAACGTTTACTTATTTTGAGAGAGACAGAGCATGAGCAGGGGAGAGGGCAGAAAGAGAGGGAGAGAGAGAATCCTAAGGAGGCTCCATGCTTAACATGGATCCCGACATGGGGCTCGATCCCAAGACTGAGGTCACAACTTGAGCCGACATCAAGTTGGACACTCGACTGACTGAGCCACCCACACGCCCCTGTATCCCTCTCTTTTTTTTTTTAAATTGAAATATAGTTGACACACAACGTCAACTATATGCCTAGTAGTTTCAGGCATACAACACACTGATTTGACAACTCTGTACTTCATGCTGTGTTCACCCCAAGTGTGGGTACCATTCGTCACCATTCAACACCATTATAGTGTCATTGATTATTTTCCTTATGCGGTACCTTTAATCTCTGTGCCTTGTGCATTCCACCCTGTACCTTCACCCATTTCTCACTCCCCTTCACTTATTTTGCCCATCTAACCCCCCTCCCCTCCCTTCCGGCAACCACCAGTTTGTTCTCTGTATTTATGCATGTATGTTTTTGCTTTTTGTTTGTTGGTTTACTCTGTTTTTCAGATTCCACATATAAGGGAAATGATATGGTACATGTGTTTCTCTGTCTGACTTATCTCACTTTGCAGAATGCCCATTAGGTCCATCCACGGTGTCCCCCCGTGGCAAGACTTCATTCTTTCTTATGGCTGAGAAGTATGCCATCATATCTATATACACACCACAACTTCCGTATCTCAAAATATCTGATTGATTGTCCTGCACTCACCCTTATCCTTATGATGATGGGAGATGAGAAAATGCCTGTGTAACGAGATGAAGTGAGTCGGGTGAGTGATGGAGGCCCTGTGACGTAGCGCGATGCTACCACTGACCTCCTGATGAGACTTCGGAAGGAGGGTCATCTCCTTCAGGACTTCGGTCGACCGTGGTCACCGAAACTGCGGAAGGCAAAACCACAGATGAGACGGGGCTACTGCATAACCGTACAATGAAATATTATTTGTCAATACGGAGGCAATAATACCACCTACTCCTCATAATTAGTGAAGACTAGATTCACAAGCCTCACCAGGTTCCTGGTTTCCCACCTGCTACTGGCAAGGCTTGTTGTCTGAGCTCGCTACCATCTCCCAAACCAGTCTTGCTAGGAGACCCCTGTCCTGTTGAATCCTTCACTTCTCTGCAGAACTCCTTTGATCGGCCAGCAGTCAAAACTCATGGAATAGAATTGATTTTAAGAGCCCACACTTTCTGTGTCCCTGGGTGGTTCAGTCGGTTAAGCATCTGACTCTTTTTTTTTTAACGTTTATTTTTGAGAGAGAGAGAGAGAGAGAGCGCGAGGGGGTAGGGGGCAGAGAGAGAGGGAGACCCAGAATTCGAAGCAGGCTCCAGGCTCCGAGCTGTCAGCACAGAGCCCGGCGTGGAGCTCGAACTCACAAACCTCGAGGTCATGACCTGAGCCAAAGTCGGCCACTTAACCGACTGAGCCACCTGGGCCCCCTCCGACTCTGATCTTGGCTCAGGTCATGATCTCAGGGTTCATGAGAGGTTCGCGGGATGGAGCCCTGCATTAGGCTCTGTGCTGATAGCACGGAGCCTGCTTGGGATTCTGTCTCTCCCCATCTCTCTCCCTCTGTCCTTCCCCCACGTCTCAAAATAAATGAAATAAACTTTAACAAAAAAGATCCCATACTTTGTTCCTCTCTTCCTCATGATTTTAAAAAGTTCTGTGAAGACAGCTCCCTTCACTACTCTTGAAACCAAGGAAATGTGTAAGTGAGTTGGCTCTGTCATTCTCCACGGGTCATTTTTGTATTCCCAGCTAGTGTTCACCAGTTCCTGGAGGCTGGCAGGGCAGGGCAGGGCAGCCCCAAGGGCAGAGGGAAGAGACTGAAGGTGCGTATATCTGTCTGTAGCTTTCCCCCATACAGCTGGGCGGGTTCGCTCAGCCGTTCTTGGAGACTGGAAGTTTGGACACCTCGGCCCTGGGCCCTTGGCAGGTGAAATCCAAGGGCACCCCAGCACCCCTGCCAATGGCAGCCCGGCACCTGGGGGAAAACCAGGAGACAGAGAGGGTCTGAGTCTGTGCTGGTAGCTGCCCAGGGTGGAAGGGGACTCCGGCTTCATGTAGGAGCTGCTGGGGAATTGCTTCCACAGAGGAAATTCCAGTCACCGAACAGAACCTGGAAAGTGCGTTCTCCGAGCTTTGGGCTCTCACCTTCAGCCTCCGAGTGTCATCCCCCCTGCACGGCTGGCTAGTCCTCTGTTTCCTCTGGGACTTGGCTGGTTTCTTTCAGGGGAGCTGCAGTCCAGAGACTGTGGCCAATGGAAAGGAAGCAGGGAGGTTGTGCCCCGGCCGGGGAGGGGAGAGCCTGGTTGCGGTACCTCCAAAGGGTCCAAGCAGGTCAGAGCACAGCCTCTGTTTACTCCATTTCCGATGACCTGCAGTTACCCCAGTGTGATCCCCTGGGGTCACAACCCAGCCTGGAGTGTGATGTGTCATTCCAGCTTCTCCCATGGTCCTTTGGGATGGCCTGTGGCCACATCTGTCCAGGGACTGACCCTTAGTAACCCGTGGTCTTTGCGGCCCAGGGTGGGCATGGACCCAATGGCCTGGGTGGCTTTGGGAACTAAGGGAAAAGTGATAGTCCATTCTCCCCACTCCCCAGCATGTGTCTGGGGTCCAGCTGGCCCACTCTCCCACCCACTCAAATAAGGGTCCTCCAGAAGTTAGGGCCGGGGCCGCCATCGAGCCCTTGGGTTTCTCTGAAGGCCTTTGGGGAGCTGCAACGTGCTGCCCACAGCCACTGCCTTCTTCCTGTTCAGTCTGTCACTGAAGCCATTCGTCCAAAACTCAAATGGGACTGTGTCATAGGCCTGTTTGGAAACCCTACTTGGCTCCCCTCCAGGGACTGGAGGGCCACAGATGGGGTTTTGCTTGGCCTGCCTTGAGTTTTTTAAAAATCTCGACGTTTTGCACGAAAGCTGACTTTCCTAGCTTCTCTTGAGACGTGGAGCCCTGATCCTGTGTGGCCACAGCTGGCTGCAGCTGAGCACAACACCTCTCCAGGCATGTGTTCCTCGGGGAACGGCTTCCACTCGTCCCCCTGGCCTTACAGCCAAGCCTCCCTTCCTCCTCACACGACCAGCTGGCACCCGCCCGCTTTTGAGTTTCCCACCGTCGTCTCGAGGCCAAGGCTCCCGTAGCACAGCTTGGGGGCAGTAGGTGACCTGACCTCTGTCTGCCTTTCCAGCCTTGTTCCTGCTCACCCCTCCGTTCCCTCCCTCCCTCACCCCTACCTCTCGGCCCATGGGCCACGCCAGTCTCTGCCCGCTCAACAAACGAGCCAGATGCCGACACGGGTCCACACCTCGTGCAGTTGCCGGGATCTGCATCCGTATCCTCGGGCAGCAGACGTCTGCAGAGCACCTGCTATGCATGTCTGGGCTACGTACTGGGGACGGAAGTATGAGACCCAGGGTATGAGTCTGGGTTCTCCACTGAAACAGACCCAATAGAATAGGTGATCGATCGATTGATTGATCAGTCGATAGGCAGATACTAATCATAAGGCAACGGCTCATGTGATTATAGAGGCTGAGAAGTCCGAGATCTGTGGGAGGCAACCTGGAGCCTCAGGAGAGCTGATATTTCTAGTCTGAGTCTGCAGGGCTGAGTCTCAGGAGCGCCGATGGTGCAAGTTCAAGTCTGAGATTGAAGGCAGAAGATGGATGTCTCAGCTCTAAGGCAGGCAGAGGGGAAGCATCCTTTCTTATTCAGCCTTTTGTCCCATCTGCTGTACTCAGTCTACCCAGGCACACGTTAATCACATCCAGAAACACCCTCACAGACTCCCCAGGTCCAACGCTGAACCAAATATCTGCGTGCTCTGAGGCTGACACGTAAAATGGGCCCTGCCATGCAGCCCTCCTTCTTCCGAAGCCTGCAGCTTAGCAAGGCACGCAGAGGGGCAGGAAAATAATCCCAAAACTGAGTGGTGAGAGCTGGAGGGCTTCTCACTTCCACTTCGAGCTTCACCTCGAATAGTGCCTCCTACAAGTCTTTTCTCGTCTCCCCACACAGTGCCTTTCTCTTGGGGGCCCCCAGAGAACACACCTCTTGGGAGAGATTGTCTCTCTCTTCTCAGTGAAATGTTCTAAGTCTACAAAAGGATACAGAAGTAATGGAGCAAAGTCCCATGTACCCACACCCGTCCTTAAAAGGTAAAGCATCACAGGGGCGCCTGGGTGGCTCAGTCGGTTGAGCGGCCGACTTCGGCCCAGGTGGTGATCACGGTTCAGGAGTTCGAGCCCTGCAGCGGGGCTCAAACTACATTGGGATCCTCTGTTTCCCTTTCTCCGCCCCTCCCTCTCTCGTGCTCTCTCTCACTCAAAAATGAATAAATATTAAAAATAATAATAATAAAGCATCACAGCCTAGGGCGGCCAAGTTGTCCCCTCCAGGGACCCCCTCAGTCCCTGGCAAGTCAGGAGGATGGGTCACACCAGTGCAGGCCTCCTCACCTCCCACGCCTGAGTACAGCACTTCCTTGAAATCGTCCCCCCCACGCTCCCCAGCAGAGGACTGATCGATTTATTAAATCGATCAGTTTTAGGGTTACCATGTGTGTCTCTATACTTCGAATCCAGCCCTAAATGACATTGGATTGCCTGTGTCTGCGGCCGCAGCCCCCCCCCCCCCCCCCCCCCCCCCCGCATGCACACTGGCCGCCCAGGCTGGGTCCAGAACATTGGATGACCTCTCCTGATGGGTGACAGCGATAAGAGCCTGGTGGCAGCACCCAACACTTGCTGCAAATTTGAAGTCAAAAGCCGGAAAAGCAAAGCTGGAAAGCTGCGCGAAACCCAGACAGGGGAGAGGTGGGGGGTGGGGGAAGAGGCAGGGACTAGGTGGAAGAAGCAGAGAGCGCCCCCGAGAGGCAGTTAGGAGAGCATCAGAGGGGGGACCCGGGGCTGGGTGGAGAAGGTCAAGGCATGTTGGGCAGGCAAGCGGCAAACTCCCCCCCCCCCCCTTTAATGCTCCTGCGACACACTCCACAAAATCCACAGCCCTCACTCAGGCGTGGGGGCACAGGCGCGCTTTCAGGGGCCCGACTCTCGATGCTCCCGGAGGTGCTCCCGTGGCCTCTTGCGGAGCCTAGCTGCTCCCCGAGGCCTCCTGGTGCCGGCTAAGTGTTCAGTGTTATTTGTGGGGGGAAGATGGGGAGGAGGGAGGAACATAGAGAGGGAGGAGGGAAGGAAAATAGGAAGGGGGGGAGGGAAGGCCGGCCTCAGCTCTGCGATGGGGGTGGGGGTGAGGGTGGGGGTGGGGAGGAGCCAGAGCCGCTCCGCAAGGTCTTTCCTGCCAGGACGGAAGGGCCTGATCTGCAGAGGGGCTGCGAGGCCCCCGCCACTGGCCTGCTGTGGCCCCAGGAGCCTTCTGGGCTTTGGGAACCAGGCCGGGAAGGAAGCGCACTGCGAGCGAGGGCGTGAGGGGGTGGAGGGTGGAGAGAGCAGACAGGGAGCAGAGGGAAGTGGAGGGGCAGAGGCGTGCTGCCTAGCAACGGCAGGAGAAGATTTAGGGAAGTGACAGGACCATTTCTCCCCGCGCCTCAAAGGGAGGGGTTTTTTTTTTCCCCCAGAGCTGCCTGCCGCCTACACTGGCGGATCTTGTTGTGGCGGCTCAGAACGCGGGTTAGAAGGGGTGGGGGGTGGAGGCTCCCCGCAAGTCAGGGCCATCGCTGGGGCAGGCTGGCCCGCCACGTGTGCGGCCACCAGGCTCTCAGCAACTCCAAGGGGACCTCTCCTCTGGGCCTGGAAGGAAGGGAAGGAAGCCAGCCTCGCAGGAAACACCACCAGCGATGCAACCTCAGCCTCCTCTCTGGAAGGTGCTGGGGATTCTCCCTTCCCTCTCTTCTGCCCCAGGACCCTGCTGGCAGCCCCCCCCCACCCCCACCCCCACCCCGAGCTTCCTCCCCACTGAGAATCCTCAGTTGCTTTGCTTTCTTAATTTGGTTTTCTCCGGCACAGAATCGAGATCAAAAGAAGAAATTCTTTGCAGCCTTTTAGGAATAATTCCCAGAATCGCCCCCTGGAAATGCATACATAATGACCATAATTATTTGAAAAGGAGTCTTTCTCCGTTTCTTTTCCATCTCTGCGGCAGGCTTGGAGAGGACAGGCGAGAGGGAAGCGGCTAGGGTGTCTTTGTGGTCGCAGGGTTTAACTGCAGGAACCGTGTTCTCGCAGGCGAAGTGTGGGACCCACACGCCACCGGCTTGCGGCACGTGACAGGGCTCTAGATGGTGCAGACAACAAACGCAAAAGGCAGTTCGCTAGCGCTAAACACCCCGACTGGCCTGGTGGGAAGTTACTCCCTTTCTAATTGGTGTTACTTGTCTTGAGTCCATCAAGTCTCAAGCTGGGGCTGGGTCTGTCCTTAACATTCCCGGAAACTTGCTAACCTTCCTTCTGACCCGGGCAAACGGCAATCCCCAGGCTGAGAACAAGCAAGAGCGACTACCTGCAATTTACTAGGGCTGTTTTTCGTTGTGATTATTTAAAAAAAATTTTTTTTTAAGGTTTATTTTTGAGAGAGAGAGAGCGAGCGAGCTCGAACGGAGCAGGGGCAGAGAGAGAGGGAGACACAGAATCCGAAGCGGGCTCCAGGCTCTGAGCGGTCAGCACAGGTCCCGATGCTGGGATCGAACCCACAAACCACCAGACCATGACCTGAGCTGAAGTCTGACCCTTAGCAGACTGCGCCACCCAAGGCGCCCCCATTGTGATTATTTTTTTTGTGAGCCCTGGGGGCGGTGGGGGAGGGGGACTTTGCACTAAAGGCTGGTTCCTTTTTACAGCAAAGACAAATAATTAGTAACTAATAATCAAAGTGATTGCTGGACCCTGCCGAATGCCAAACGCTTTGGAAAAGTCTCCAGCCTGTCAGCCCCTCGATCCAGGAGGCCAGCTTTCCCCCTGGCAGGCTGTGGGTCAAGTTGAGGGAAGGATCCCGTTCAAGGTCAGCTGGTCGAGTTGGTCAGCAGCTGGCCCCCCAAGGAGGCTCAGATGGGAGTTTCTAATTTGTTTCGGAGCCACTCAGCCTGGCTTGGCACCCACTCGTAGCCCATTCTGTTTCTTGAGATTCGAGAAGTCAGCTCCTCAAGGTCCACTTGGGGACACACGGCCGTAGAGTGTGGGTGGCTGCCATACCCGATTTCCCTCTGGACAACCACCAATCTGTCCTCTTGGATCTGGGGTTTGAGCAGAGCACACCTACCCGGTGGCTTTAGGGCTGGCATGCCATCTGAGCCTGGCTTCCCCTGGGCACCCCATTCTTCTGGCCACAGCGATGGATGGGCCCCGGGAAGGGCAGAGAGATGCATGGAGACTCTTGCTGGGAATTCTGGGGCTGGCTGGCTCTTTCCCACTGGCCTCGATCCTGAGAAGATGAGACTAGAGCCATTTCTGCCACCACGGGGAGGGAGCCAACAACGAGGGAAGGGGGGTGGTGAGAAATGAAGAGAGAGAGAAACCCGATCCTGATGGTATCAGTTGCATCCCTGGATCCGGCGGTGCCTGAAGCCAGCCTCTACCCTTGGCCGCCTTTAGAGCTCCCCACGGAGCCAGCGAATTCCCCTTTCATGTAATCTAGTAAGGATCAATGCTTCGGTCACTTGCAACCAGGAGTCCTAACTGATGCAATGGCTCAGTGCAAATCCCTGGCCACTGGGAAAGCAAGAACCCAAGGGGGTTGCCGTACCCACGTAGGTGAGCGGCATCGTCACCCTACGCAAACATGGGCACAGGAAAAGTTATGAAAGCTCCGAAGTTCAGAGGAACAAGTAGTAGCCACGGGCCGAGTGTGTTGCACGAAACGGCTTATTTCATCCGGGGAACAGTCCTACACGGCCGTCCGCTTTCGGCACCATTTTACAGATGAGAAGACTGAGGTCCAGGGGGTCTCTGTGAACCTTCGGGGCAGAACCAAGCCTTGCCACTCAGCGCCGTGTCGTCCCAGCCGTGTCTCTACAGTAAACAAGGAAATGACTCACTGCTACATACAAGACTCTGGGGATGTGGGACAGGGAAGGGACCAAGGGGCGGGGCTGTCGGGCGGCACAGGGTGATACTTACGGAGCAGGTGGCACGAATGCCTCCATCTGCCCCCAACCCCGGCAGTCACGGGGTACACACAGGCCTGCAGAAAGGGCTCCAGCTCTTTGCACCTCTGGCTGAGGACAGAAAGGCAGAGAGGGCCCCGGGATTCCATCAGCACCCATCAGTACTCCTTGGCTGTGGGGCTTCCGACGAGCCCTTCTTCCCTCTCGGGAAATGGAGACCCCGGCTCCTGGCCTTGCTCATGTGACCCAGCAACCCGAGCATCAGATGAGGATAAAGATGGCAAGGATTATTATTTGCAAACATCGAAAGGGGGGCTTCAGGATGGAGGGAATCCCTGACTTCCCGGAGGTGGCCTTGCAGGTGTGGACGGGCGTAAACTGACTCCCTGTACTTCCCCCTCCACACACCCCCCACCCCCCACCCCAGAGCTGTGGAGAGACAGGCCCAGCGTGACCTGAAAGGAACCTTTCTGTCCCCAAAGCCAAGAGAGATGAGAACTGTGAAGGAGAGAAGCGAGAGCTCGGCTACAGGCGCTTGGGGATTTATTTTTACCCTGTTATCTCTATCCTGAAATGTCAAGCGTGGAGCCGCCTCTCCCACCAGCCCCCCAGCCTCCCCAGCCATTCAGGGTGGCAGCGCAGCCTGGAAACAGGCCCCATTCTCCTTCTCTGGTTCCTCCGCCTCTCCAAGAGAGTCACAGCGCTATGGAGACGGGAGGCATGGAAACCCTGAAATAGAGAAGTGGGAAGTGAGACCTTTTATTTGGGTTCTGGAACAGGCTCACTTCCTCCTAGAGGCCCCGGGGCGCAGAGGGGGCCCTTGGAACTGTCGGGTACCTATTCTAAGGTTTGCATCAAATTGGCTCTTTATGGTGCAAGACTCAGAGATCCCTACTTACACGGGGTTATATAATAAAGATTGTTTAATTGGCTGAGGCCACCAAAAGGCCTAGCAAAAGGTCAGGCTTCGGGTAGGGTTCGAGCCAGGGGTTTTTTGTGCCGTCCCAAAGACTCGGTTCTCTCCCTCTCTCGGCTCCGTGTTCTGTGGTGTTGGCTTCAACCTCGGGCACCACTCTGTGCTCCCCAACAAACTTTAGCACTTCTAGAATCTTCCCCCGTGATCACAAATGGCTGCAGCAGTGGGTCTAGACCTCACATCCTCATACTGGTGGCTCCCAAGGAAGAGAGAGGAATCTTCTTTTTGCCACAAGTTACCAAGAAGTGTCCTCCTGTGTTTCGTTGGCTATGACTGGGTTATATGACCATCCCCAAGCCAATCATTTTGGTATGGGGCAGGAAGGTGAAATACACATTGATCCGATTAAGCCAAACCAGATTCCCAAGAACAGGGAAGCAGTGGTTTCCCACAGGAGACTTCAAGCACTTGACCCAAAAGGCGACGGAATGGATCTGCTGAGCAGCAAGCAGGAGGCTGTTCCGCACTTTATTCACTTTGTTTGATCCTTCCCTACTCAGGAAGGCCCCTGAGGTTAGACGTGACAGTTCTTTCCTATCCAGAAAGAGGCCAACATCAACATCTCTTTCTGTCTGTACGTTTACCTGAGGTTCTGAGTTCTACGAATCCTGGGTCCATCATTCCCAAAATTGCACCAAGGCAACAGACTCTCCCCCAGGTAGACAGGGAGGTACAGGCTGAAGGGTCATCTGTTTACCTGCCAAAGTCTTCCTCCGCATTCAAAATTTTTTTTTTTAATGTTTATTTATTTTTGACAGAAAGAGAGACAGAGCATGAGCAGGGGAGGAGCAGAGAGAGGGAGACACAGAATCCGAAGCAGGCTCCAGGCTCCGAGCTGCCTGATGTGGGGCTCGAACTCTCAGACCGTGAGATCATGACCTGAGCCGAAGTTGGACGCTTAACTGACTGAGCCACCCAGGTGCCCCAGCTTCCTCTGCATTCAAAATAAAACTCACACTCTACACGCTGGCTTCCCTATCACTCACTGTACATTCAGCCATTCCAGGCTTCTTATCGATCATTCCTTAGACAAGCCAATCAGTCACCTTATTCCTACAGAGCCTTTCCACTTGCTCTTTCTCTTGGATCTAGAATTCCTTTAAATCTTTTCAGAGTTGGCCCCATCTCGTCATTCAGGACTCTGCTCGAACATCACACCTTCTTGGAAGCCTTCTCTGACCCACCTGGGGCGTAAAAGCCATCTGAAATTACCGTGTTCCTTGATGGCTTGAGTATCTCTCCCCCTTTGTTAGACTGTAAGCTCCACAGAGCAGGGACTGCGCTGGTCCTACTGATGTGTGTCCCTCGTAATTCCTCCTTCTGTGTCTGCCATAGTGGAGGGACTCAATACATATTTGCTGGGTCAATGAAGGAGAAGTCTTTTCTTTTTAAATTTTTTTTTTCAACGTTTATTTATTTTTGAAGGGGGGAAGGGCAGAGAGAGAGGGAGTCACAGAATCGGAAGCAGGCTCCAGGCTCTGAGCCATCAGCCCAGAGCCTGACGCGGGGCTCGAACTCACGGACCGCGAGATCGTGACCCGGCTGAAGTCGGACGCTTAACCGACTGCGCCACCCAGGCGCCCCAAGAGAAGTCTTTTCTGAATGACCTTGTAAATGTTTCCAGAGCAGGGCAACTTGTTACATGTGTCCTGGCTTTAACTTGGTGCCTACCAAAACATGGCAGCAGAAGCGATGTGGTCAAAGTCGCACCCTCATTAGTAGGGAAAGGGACCTGGGTAGCACCAATGGCTTCTTTCCTAGGCCAATGCATGTGAAAATCTGAGGGCATGAAACTGTAGAGACGCACCTGGGGCCACCTGTCCATCCAGGTGTCTAAGTATGGTGGCAACACCACCATTCACAAGTAAAAGCGCGGAAACAGCGTGGGGTGGAATGTCCCCGAAGAAGAAGAATGTCTCGCCTGGTCCACTGCAGACCCCAAAAGTCAAAGTCAGAACCTCAACGTGCTGGTGACTCAGAAGAACCCGCATGTTCGTGATGGACACAAACACTCCTCGAGGCTACCGAGACCTGCTCGTCTGTGACAGTCCTCAGGTCAGTCCGGTGAGTGTGGATGGCTCAGCTCAGAGAACAGGAACTCAAAAGCACATCGGCAGACAGACCTCGGTTGTTCCTGTACTCCGCAGACAGCATGCCTTCTGGAGCATCTCAAGTATTCTGCTGTTGATGGTTTTCCACTCACCCAAACAGATCCATCATTCCTCTGTTAGGCCCTCACAAGACACTCTGAGCTTCGTTCTCCTGGACTCCCCAACATTTGTAATAATATCTATACTTAGGTGATAATTTGAGTAAGACTCATCTTCCCCACTGGACTCCAAACTTCTGAAAGGCGGGGATGATCTCATTACCTCACTACCGTGTCCAGCGGTGTAAGTGAACCAACCCCTTGCCCAACTTGTAGAATGAGCCTCGTAAACAGTTTTTGAATGGGAGGGGGGGGAAAGCGAATGGAACTCGGGGTCTGCTGGGAAAGCACGTTACAGCCGGCCTGACTCAGCTGGAAGACAGCAAAGAGGCTGGATCTTTCAAAGTGAATCAGACCTCGTCACTGGCTGACCACCCTGTCCTCTCCTTCAAGGCATCTCCCGTGCCTAGAATAGTATCTACCACAGGACAGAGAGTCTGCAGACGGTGGAAGAATAAATCAATGAATGGACACTGTTCTTTCCCTTCCCAAAGAAGCTGGTTACCTTCTTAAGGATAAATTCCTGGAAAGGGAGAATGGGGGGTGGGGTGGGGCAGAGAGCCATAGTATGCAGATGTGCTGAATCAAACCCAACGGTTTAATTTAGGTCATCCCCTTCAGACTCAGCGGTAGCTTCGAGGAGTTTGTCTCCAATTAAGAACATGTGGGTTCTTCTGAGTCACCAGCACGTTGAGGTTCTGACTTTGATTTTTGGGGTCTGCAGTGGACATCTGGGTCCTAATGGGTAGTTTTGCATCTGACATTTAACCAACCAAGGGCTCAAGCTATTTGGTCTTTGTCCCTCCTTCCGAGGTGACAGAGATTCTAAGACCTCATTCTTCAATCGCCAACCCCAAATCAAATACCAAAAAATCTCCCCCCCCAACCCACCATGAAAAACCTCCATAAAACCAAATCTCCAAAGATGCCTGGGTGTCAAGCCCACCCCCACCCAGCTAGCAAAAGGTGGCTCACTTTTGAACTACAAACTCCCTTCTAGAACCAGAAGGAAAGGAATAAGGGATTTACGGGTCGCCTCAGAGTTGTAGGTTCTGGCTTGTCCCCAGGATGAGTTCATTATTTATTCTTAGAGACCGGACTCAAATTAAACAAACAGTGCCTATAAATAGAGCAGGATACACTCAGCTCAGTGTCACTGAAAGGTCCTTTTCACAGGGACAGATGCGCTAAATGGATGTTCTCAGGTTACCCCGCTGGTACTACGTGAAAAGGGTTGTCCTTTTTCTTGTTAAGTGTGGTCCAGGAGCGAAGCAGGTGAGTCAGACATTGGGATTTGGCCTGATTCTGTCTCCTTCGTTTCTTTTTTTCTAAACTCTCATTCACGTTATAACCGAGAGGGAACCGGAGAGGAAGGATGTCACTCTATAAACGCCCTGGCTGGACAATTTGGCATTTCCCTCGGGGAATGGGTCCTGGCTCAGGTTGTATTTGACAGAGTGTTCTGGTCTTTTAGATTAGATTGCAAACTCCCTAAGGGAAGGGACCAAATGGTAGACTTTCCTCTTGGTTTCTCCCATGCTGCCAAACACAGAGATGGCTAGGGTTTCCATGGCAGACCTGGAGCTACGAATTAAAAGGACTGTCCTCAGGCATGGGGACCTGTCTGGTAGGGAGCAAGGCAGCCTGCGTTCCAAGCCTGCTATGGCTTTGCTTTGCCTCTCACTTGAGAGGCACAGTGCGCTTGAGCTGTGCAGTGATCACACCACCGTGACAGACAAGTTGGGGTGGAAAGACCTGGAACAACTGTGAGGAGACATCAAGCAACCGGGCAACCAAGTCAAGTCACCGGAGGGACAACAGTGATCACCAAATCGGCACTTGGCCGGCTCATTCCAAGCACTGTTCTAGAACATCGCAACAGCTCGCTTAATCTTTCTAAAATCCCCTATGACTTAAGGACCATGATGATCTCTATTTTACAGATGAAGAAAGTGAGGCACCGGTTGAGTATTACCTTGCTCGAGGTCAGACGGCTGGTGAGTCAGGATGGGGAGTTGGGCAGTTTAGCTCAAGAGCAGCCTCCTGGAGTCAAAATTAAGTGCACAGAGTCTGTATCTGTCACTTTTATCGCCCGGGTCTGGAGCACGCCCGGAACTCCCTGGGAGCATGGGATCGAGGTCGGGCCAATGACCCTGAATCTCAGGACTTCTTCTGGGAATGCTAGGCACAAGACACACTGACCTTCCCTGCAGATTGGCAGGGGAGGTGGGCACCTCGCAAGGGCCACAGCCATCTGGCCGCTCCAGGAGGAACGTGGCTGAGAACGAAATCAGCACTGAGAAAAACAGGTCCTGGTGATGGTCTTCGAACCCTGAGTCCAGCTGCACTTAAAGGTGGACCAGCCCTTCAGCCTTGAGCTTTCAGGAGCCAGTATCTCCCCTCTCCTGTTGTAAGCCAGTCAAGGCTGATTTCCTATCATGTGCAGCTGACAGAGTCCCTAACCGAGCCGGCCGGCCCCTAATAAAGCATGATGTGGCCAAACCAACAGCCCAGCCCCACCCACAAGTGAGAGCTCTTTCCTCGCCCTGTTGGAATCTTCCAGAAACACGTACCAGCCTGCTTCGGTGCACTTGCACAATGGCTCCTTTCTCTGTTTACTGAAATCCCAAACACTCTGCTGAGGCCTCCCCCACGGTATCCGTCAGAATCACCTACCGCTTCATTTGGTTACCACAGTATGGAACTTAGGTGCTTACTTAGCCCTTACCCCATTCTGCCTTGAGATAGTTATTTACAAGTCATCATTAACATCATTGAACGCACGCGCTCAGCTCGGCGAGGGGGTTCAGAGCCAAGACCATCAGCACGTAGCTGAGCTCTTTCCAAGCGTCGGGCACTCCACTCAGCGCTTGGCACTGAGCACTTATGTGGCTGCATCTCCTAAAAAAAAACCCTACAGGGCAGCTACGAATGAGATCCCCACTGGACACATAATAGGATGGTACGTTAGGAGGTTCCGGCAAGACTCGGAGATTTGAACAGAAATTGCAAAGCAAGTGGCCAGATGTGGATGTAGGTTTTTCCCAGCAAAGACTTGACGACCAGTTTCAAATACTAATCCCTCATTCACAAACCCCTAAACCACAAAGAAGATGTAAAAGACTCAATAGGTATGAAGAGAGGATTTTACTACTTTTTTTTTTTTTACCATGCTGTCATCCACCTCCTAACACACACACACACGTATGTGAGCAAGGTGGGGGTGTTTAACCTATTTGTGCATCTCAAGCCTGGGGAGAGTGGCTTCTTTGAGATACTATGGAGAGTCTGATGAGCCATCCTGTTGCTGCAGAGATGGAGACACAGGGAACCGTACCTGACTCACTGCTGAGAAGTCCAGAGGGTGAGAGACGTGGCCAGGAAGTTTACGAGCCCAACTCTCATTCCGGCGAAGACTGGACATGTTTTCCTGCGGCCTCACGTGAGCAAGATGCCTAATGGGTCACCTTAGAGAGAGTCTCGCAGGGCGGCCTAGAAGGGCTTTGAGCCCTCATCAGACAGAGGCTGGAGGCGGATCATCAGACTCGGAGGAGTGTTAGTGAGGCCCTGGTGTGAGTTACCCTGTCAATGCTGGGGACTGTCCAGCACCCGCCCATTACCCCGTGTGATACTTGAGCATACCGAGAGGGGGCGACACCATCTTTGGGTTCTAATAGTCAAGTAGGTACTCCACCCACCCACCTACCCACCCTCATTTTGCCTTACATCTTCTCCCTTCCAACCTCTTGTGTGTACATTTTGGGGGAAGTCAGTGTCTATTTCCTTCTTTCTGAAGGCCAGTGGCCCATTATGGTGGGCCTCAGGTGGAGGAAGAGGAGAGGAGGCTTATTTTTAAATAAAGTTTGAAGTGTTGATTAACGTACTGGACACGACACTCTGATTTGGGAAATGAGACTAATCTGTGACCTAGAAATCATAGGACTTTAATTAAAAAATTAGGCATGAAAAGCAAAGTCATGGTGCCTGCCTGAAGTTTTCATGCATGGCCAGGACAAGGATGTACCCCACTGAAATTTGAAAGAGCTAAGATGCGACAAAAGTAAAGTTGCCTTGATGGCCTCACCTCATGAGCTCTCCTAGATAGAAGGCCAGACGGGGTAAGTGACCTGCTCGGGGTCACAGAGCTAGTAAAAAGGCAGAACTGCGTTCTTAACCACAGTGCTATGCTGTTTCTACACTCCAGGAAATTACTGTCTCTCCTGCCTATTCTTATCTTATTTTTCTCAAATTACCTCCCTTTGCCTCCATGTATCATACATGGCCCTGGACCAGTGGTGACAGAAGCAGGGTATGCTCAGAGGTGGGTAAGGTTATCCAAGGATGATGTCAGTCAAGAACATGCTTCAAAGACCAGCGAATCCCTGAGCACCACATCTGGAGAATTTCCTGTCTCCATCTACCTCAGTGCTTTGATGATGACTTAAGACACTATTGGTATATTATTTTTTTTAATTTTTAATGTTTATTTATTTTTGAGAGAGAGAGAGAGAGAGTGAGCATGAGCGGGGAGGGGCAGAGAGAAAGGGACACACAGAATCTGAAGCAGGCTCCAGGCTGAGCCATCAGCACAGAGCCCGATGTGGGACTCGAACCCATGAACTATGAGATCATGACCTAAGCCGATATCAGATGCTTAACCGACTGAGCCACCCAGGCGCCCCAAGACGCTATTGGTATTATTAACACAACATTGAACCTTACTAAGTTCCAGGCACCATGCTAAGTACTTTTCACACGTTTCCTGATTAAATCCTAGCAGCCCTGTGGAAAGGATCCTCCTGAGCATTATTCCTGTTTACACAGGAGGCAACTGAGGCTTGGAGCACCTTGCACAGGTTTCATGGCCAGCCAACAGAGGTCTGAGCCTACAGCCTGCATGCCTGGGCATCATAAGGCACTCAGCACATGCCTGGAACCCCCCAGCCACCTTCGCACCAAGCCTGCCAGGAGTTACCTGATTCTATGCCTACTCACTAAAACGGACCCTCTATCAGCATTTCTGTTGGTTTCCAAGAAGTTTATTCGATTGGATCCAATCACACAGGGCTCCTGGGTCTTGATTTTTCTGGAGCAAAACATGGTACTTGCTCGGGGCGTGGGCAGAAGGATACGACCTATGGTTATAAGGGTAGTGACAGGATATGGGTCTTCTCTACCATTTGAGATGGGAATACATGGGCCCCAGTCTGAAGCAGAAGCCAATATCCAATAGAACTTGGTGACCACAGGGGCGCCTGGGTGGCTCAGTCGGTTAAGCATCTGACTTTGGCTCGGGTCATGATCTCACAGTTCGTGGGTTCGAGCCCCATGTGGGGCTCCATGCTGACAGCTCAGAGCCTGGAGCCTGTTTCAGATTCTGTGTCTCCCTCTCTCTCTGACCCTCCCCTGTTCACGCTCTGTCTCTGTCTCAGAACTAAATAAACATTAAAAAAAAAAAAAAAAAGAACTTGGTGACCACAGTATGGATCTCTCTAGACCTGTGATCTATCCCACTGTGACATCAAGTAAAGCCTGTGCCTAAATTTTTCACCTCCTCCCCCAATGGGGATGTCTCAAAAATCTATCCGTAATTAACAGTATCTCAATGGAAACTAATGTAGTAGTTGCGAATGCAGGCTTGGGAGTCGGAGTGCCTTGGTTCCATTTATTAGCTATGAATCCTCCCCCCAGGCACTTCATTTCTGACCTTTGAGGTTGGTAAAATAGTGATAATAGTATCTTCCTCTTAGTATTTGTGAAAAGCCATCAATCTGTTCACAGATATTCCAATTCCCCTTCCTCTCTAGGTATGTGATAAAATCAATATTATACTTTTTATGCACTTTGAAGCGAACCACACCCATGTGACTTGCCTGCCAGCGAAATGATGACAGTGATTTCCTGCCACCAGGGGGAAGCTTTGCAAGCTGGTGTGCGGTTTGCTTTTTAACTTCAGGGGTTCCTAGCAGCCTGGGTCCCTGAGTGTCTGTGATGAGCACCACCCCTCCTCCCTGGTTCTAATCATCACTGGATACGTAGCATGAGTGAGAAACACATCTTTGTTGTTTTAAGCCAATGAGGTTTGGGGGTTGTTTCTTACTGCCACCACCTAGCCTATCCTGACTAATACACTGTTGGTGGGAGGGAGGATTCAATTAAAAACAACAACAAAAAGCAAGCACAACTAAGATACTGCCATGCACCCGCAAGAATGGCTGTAATCAGGAAAACAGACAATGGCAAGTGTTAGCAAAGATGTGGAGAAAGCCGGTGCCTCCTATATTGCTGGCGGGAATGTAAAATAGCGCAGCCACTTTGGAAAACAGCTTGACAGTTTCTTAAAAAGTGAAACATAAGCTCACGTACCACCCGGCACTTCAACAAAGTATCTGCCCCAAAGAAATGGAAGGTATGTCCACGCACAGGCTTGGATGTGTGTGTGTTCCCAGCAGTGTCATTCATGGTAGCTACGAAGCTGGAGCAAACCAGATGGCCATCATCCGGTACCTAGATACACAACACGCGGTCTATCCTTACAAGGTCATACTACTCAGCACTAAAAAAGGAACAAAATGCCAATACATGCTACCACATAGACAAACCTCGGCAACATATGGAGTGAAAAGAATCCAGATGTAAGATCATGGATTGAAAGATTCGATTTCTCTGAAGTGTACAGAGAAGACAATTTTGTAAACACAGCAAGCAGTTCCGTGGTCGCCTGGGACTGAGAGGGAGAGTGGGAATTGACTGCAATTAGGTTTGAGGTGGCGTTGGGAAGTGACGGAATGTTCTAGCACCTGATTGTGATAGTGACTGCACAACTCTATACATGTTCTGAAAATCAGTGAGTTGTACACTCACAATGGGCCAATCTAACGGTACATAAATTCTACTCCAATAAAGCTGTTAAAAAAAAAAATGAACTAAGCGGCAGTATCTGGCACATAGGGAAAGATCAGTAGACGTTTGTTATTATGTATCATTTTAGGAACGGGAGTCTAGGACCGAGACTCTGCAATGAACTGATGAGGAGTAAAGATCTACATCCACTGAAGAAGGGAGGTCTGGCAGTTGACCTTTGTGTTTCCACCCCCAAACTTTGTATTTCCTCTACACTGACCACTACCTGCAAAAGGCCCAGGGGATATTTACAGTACCAACTGCTGGAAAGGTGGGAGTCACGTCCTTGACTAGACTCTTAGTCTGTTCAGGCTGCTATAACAGAGTATCACAGTTGGGTGATTTATAAATAATGGAAACTTACTGTTCATAGTTCTGGAGCTTGGAAGTCCAAGGTCAAGGTGCTGACAGATTTAGAGTAAGGTGAGGGCCTACTTCCTGGTTCATATATGGTCATCCTCTCTGTATCCGCCCATGGCAGAAGGGGTGAGAAAGCTCTCTGGGGTCCCTTTTCTAAGGGCACTAATCCCATTCATGAGGGCTCTACCCTCAGGACCTAGACTCCTCCCAAAGATCCCGTCTGGGCTACATCACACTGGGGATT